GAGTGTGTCAATTCTTGCACAAGCTGCGCTGCTTCTGGAGAAGTGTGTCATTTCTTGCAAAAGCAGTGCAGCTTCTGGAGCAATGTGTCATTTTCTGCACAAGCTGCGCTGCTTCTGGAGGAGTGTGCCATTTCTTGCACAAGCAGTGCAGCTTCTGGAGGAGTGTGTCATTTACTGAAAACGGGGGCCAGCTTGAGGTGTGAGGGAAATAAACTGTCAGTTGGAATTTTGTTGCATTCCCTAATGCATGCATTTGAATTAAAGCCTTCCAGCTTTGTTTGTAAGGTAATTTATTTGGCAGAAAGCTACAGATCCGGACAGGAGGCAAATTTTGAGTGACACAGATGTTTGCCACTGCTTTTATTCAAAATGGTCTTGGAAAAGTAATCCTACTGACAGCCCCATCCTCCTCCTCCTTTTCTTTGGCTCTCCAGAACCTTCCTCCCACTTTGAATATGAAAATAGAAACACAAGGTGTGCGGCAGAGAAACAAACCCCTCTTTCCCCATGTTTTTATGATAGAGCCAATTAGGAAATGACATTGATAACTCAGGATTAAAAATAGTAGTGTGACATCATGTTATCGATTCATTTTATTAATTATTATTATTATTATTATTATTATTATTATTACGATATTTATTTATCCCCCACGTTATCTCTCCCAAAGGGGACTCTAAGTGGCTTGACATAATAGCATTAGCATACAATTTAAAATACACAAATGTACAAACATTAAGACAGAATTCAACACAAACAACACTAAGAAATTCACCGTTCATTCTCATCAAAACCTATTCAAAGTTAAAACCATCACATACACACCCCAACAAACGAGACCCTAAACACCTCCACTGTGTTCAAAGTGAGGGCCACTCTTGGGAATGATACTAATACTACTACTACTACTACTACTACTACTACTAATAATAATAATAATAATATAACAACAATAAATAAAAATGAAAATAAATAACAACAATACTGAATCATAACCATAACATAATACAAATGATAGTAGGAATAATAACAAAAATAAAAAATATAATGAATAACAATAAATAATAAATATATAACACAAATAATAGTAGTAATAGTAATAAGTTAAAATGAAAATAAATAACAAAAATAACAAATAATAAACAATATAATGAAAATGATAATATTAATAAAAAAGAAATATAATAATACAGAATAATAGAAATAATAACAACAATAAATAACTAATAAAACATAATAAAATAATAGTAACAATAATAAAATAATACTTCTTCACTTCACTTATAATAAAATAATAACTAAATAAATATTAAAATATTATAATAAAATAATAACTAAATAAAAGTAAATTAAAGGTAACAATAACAATGAAAAAAATAAATCATAAACATAATATAATGCAAATGATAGTAGGAATAATAACAAAAAATAATGAATAACAATAAATAATAAATATATAATACAAATATTAGTAATAATAACAATAAATAAAAATAAATTACAACAATGAATCATAAACAATATAATACAAATGATAGGAATAATAAAAATAAGAAATATAATAATTTAATAAAAATAATAACAATAAATAACTAATAAATATATGATACAAACAATAGTAACAGCAATAATAAAATAGTAACTAAATAAATGTAACAAGAAATAAAAATAAAAATAAATCATGAACATAGTATAATACAAATCATAATAGTAAAAATAAGATAAATATAATCTGTAATAAAATAATAACAATAAATAATAAAAGTATAATACAAATAATAACAATAACAATAAATAATAAAATATTATACAAATAATAGTAATAATAGCAACAATTAATAATAAAACAATAGTAAAAAATAATAAATACAGATATTACCCACAATAGTCATAAGAAGAAGGAGGAGGAGAAATAATAATAACCTTTTACTAATTATTACCAGCCTCTTCTTTTGGCCCCAAGCCAAAAACAAATGCATACTATTCCAACATCGTTAAAAGATGACCAGAAATGCGACGCCCCGTGGAATCCTGGGAGTATTCTCAGCTGGAGGGCGATTTAGGCCACTTAACCCATAAAGTCATGTCTACGCTACATCTATCCATCTGCCTACCTGCCTGTGCCTCTCTGTCTATCTCCATCCATCTATCTGTATATATCTCTATCCATCCATCCTTCTTTCCATTCATCCTCTGTCTATCTGTCCATCCTTCTTCCTGTCTATCTCTCCTTCCTTCTGTCTATAATTCTACCCATCCTTCTTTCCATCTATAATCCCCTTTCTCCTTTGATCCACCTACAAACCTATCATTCTCTCCCTCCATCAATCAATCAATCAATCAATCAATCAATCAGTCATCTATCTATCTGTCTGTCTGTCTATCCCTCCATCCTTCTATATCTATATATCTATCCATCCAAGCCATCCATCCATCTGTAATCCCCTTCCTCTATGTATCTATCATTCATTCCCCCATTTATCTTATCATTCCCTCCTTCTTTCTTTCTTTCTTTCTTTCCCTCCGTCCATCCATCCATCTATCTATCATTCCATCCATCTATCTATCATTCCATCCATCCATCTATAATTTTCTCCATCTATCCATCATTCTCTCCGTTGCCCCATTCCTTCCATTTATCTTATCTTATCTATCATTCCCTCCATCCTTGTATCACTCTCTCTCCATCCCTTAAACCAACTACTCATTTATCTCTCTCTCTCTCTCTCTCTCTATCATTCCCTCCATCTATCCTATTCCCTCCATCCTTGTGTTTGTGTGTCTATCTATCTATCTATCTATCTATCTATCTATCTATCGATCTATCTAATCTATAATTCCATCTATCCTTTCTCTTTATCCTTGTGTTTGTGTGTGTGTGTCTATCTATCTATCTATCTATCTATCTATCTATCTATCTATCTATCTAATCTGAATATCATTCCCTCCATCTATCCCTTTCCCTCCATCCTTGTGTTTGTGTGTGTGTCTACCTATCTATCATTCTCTCCATCTATCCTTTTCCCTCCATCCTTGTGTTTGTGTATTTGTCTATCTGCCTGCCTGCCTGCCTGTCTGCCTATCTATCTATCTATCTATCTATCTATCTATCTATCTATCTATCTATCTATCTATCTATCATCTATCTAATCTATCATTCCCTTCTATTTTATCTATCACCATCCCCTGTCTCTTTCCCTCTATCATTCCCTCCCTATCTTTATTTATCTATGTATCATTCCATTTATCTCTCTCCATTTATCATCAGGGGCGTGGGGGGCGGGAGGCGGGGCGGTCTATCCATCGATCTATCCACTCATTCATCTATCTATCCATCCATCCATCTATCCATCTATCTATCTATCTATCTATCTATCTATCTATCTATCTATCTATCTCTCCATCCATCATTCCATCCTCTCCATCCTCCTCTCTCTCCCTCTCTCCCTCTGTATTTATCTATGTATCATTTTATCTATGTATCAATCTATGTATCTATAAATCTATGTGTCTATCTTTTTACATATCTATGTGTCTATCTATCTGTCTATCTATCTATCTATCTATCTATCTATCTATCTATCTATCTATCTATGTGTCTGTGTATATGTGTTTATGTATGTATAATAGTACATACATATAATAGTATGTATTATATGTATGTATGTATCTACGTATCTATGTGTCTATGTATGTATGTATGTATGTATCTATACATCTATGTGTCTATCTTTCTATGTATCTATGTGTCTATCTATGTACCTATCTATCTATGTATATGTATGTATCTATACATCTATGTGTCTATCTTTCTATGTATCTATGTGTCTATCTATGTACCTATCTATCTATGTATATCTATGTATGTATGTATGTATGTATGTATGTATCTATCTATCTATCTATGTATCTATGTACTTATGTATCTATGTGTCTATCTATGTGTCTATCTATCTATCTAATCTTTGTATCTATTTGTCTATGTATCTGTCTGTCTATCTATCTATGTCTCTATCTATATCTATCTATCTATTTATGTATCTACGTATCTATGTGTCTATCTTTCTATGTATGTCTATCTATCTATCTATTTATGTATCTATGTGTCTAGCTATCTATGTATATATCTATGTATATGTATGTATGTATGTATGTGTGTATGTATGTATGTATCTATCTATCTATGTACTTATGTGTCTATGTATCTATGTGTCTATCTATCTATCTATCTATCTTTGTATCTATTTGTCAATGTGTCTATGTATCTGTCTATCTATCTATCTATCTATCTATCTATGTATCTACGTATCTATGTGTCCATCTATGTATCTATTTGTCTATTTATCTATAGATATCTATCTATTTATCTATGTACCTATGTGTCCATCTATGTATCTATTATCTACATATCTATGTGTCTGTCTATATATCTATTTATCCATCTGTGTATCTGCCTATGTATTTATGTATCTAAATATCTATATGTGTCCATCAATGTATCTATGTATCTATGTATTTATGTATCTATATGTCCATCTATGTATCTATCTATGTATCTATGTGTCTATGTATCTATTTGTCCATCTATCTATGTGTCTATGTATGTATGTATGTATCTAATCCAGTGGTTCTCAACATCTGTGGGTCTCTCCCCAGATGTTTTGGCCTTCAGCTCCCAGAATTCCTAACAGCTGGTAACCTGGCTGGAATTTCTGGGGCCAGCCCCACTAGGGAGGGACCCTCAGGTGGAGAGCCCTGCTCTGATCTACCCAGGTGTCCTTCCTTGCCTGCCAGCCAATGGGATTCTTCCCTCTCCAGTGGGAAGGAGGCGCCCCCTTTTGGCCTTGCCTGGGGCTGGGGATGCTGGGCGCTGCCGCCATTGGCTGCGGGAGGGGCCCCGATTTGCATGCCGCGCCCACCCCCTGTCGAAGTGGAGGGGAGAGGCAGGAGGTTCCGAAAGGGGGCGTGGCGCGGCATGCAAATCGGGGCCCCGCCCGCAGCCAATGGCGGGGGAGCAGGAAGGCTTCCCGGGAGGCGAGGGGCCAATAGGAAGGCGGGGGAAAGGGAGCGGGGAGGGGGCAGGAGGAGGAGGAGTCGCGCGTTGGTCGCGCTTCGGGGCGCCGGTGGAGACGCGCAGAGAGAGCGAGGGATGGAGGGCGCCCACGCCGCCGCGGCCGAGGAGGTCCTGCGACGCTTCGGCGTGCGGGAGAGCTGCGGGCTCGGCCCCGAGCAAGTCCGCGCCAGCCGGGAGAAGTACGGCCCTAATGGTGAGTGACCGAGGGAGGGAGGGAGGGGTCCCGAGGGCATCCAGCCTGACCCCGGAGAGAAAGAGAGACTAGAATAGCACCCTCGGATTGGAAGGAAGGGACCCCAAAGGCCATCCAGGCTGACCCATGCCTCCTGGCAGCCATTGTGCTGTGCAGTGGGTACACACATATACACAATGATATATATCAATAATACAAATAATATAAGTTATATATATATATTACTTATATTATTTGTATTATTTATATTATATATATATATATATATTATTTATTGTATATTATTTATTTTATATTATATATATATATATATAAAATATAAAATAAATAATATACAATAAATAATATAAATATATATATAAATAATATAAATAATAAATATACACAATGATATATATAAATAATACAAATAATATAAGTAATATATAAATATATATATATATGATATAAATAAATAAATAATATACAATAAATAATATAAATATATATAAATAATATAAATAATAAATATACACAATGATATATATAAATAATACAATGATATTATATATATAATATCATTGTATTTTTTGCTGTTTATATCATATGGTTTTTATAATTATAATTATTATAATATGATTTAATATATTATTGTTTCTTATTATATTATGAGTTATTCGATTGTTATCTTATGATGGCGATTATTCGGTTATGTTACGGAAACATAGAATCACACTAGAGTTGGGAGGGATCCCCAAAGGCCATCTAGTCTGACCCTCTTCTGCTTCAATGTAGGAATAGCACCGTTAAAGCCATCCCAACAGATGGCCACCCACCCTCAACAACAATATAGTTGGGGGAGACCCCAAAGGCCATCTAGTCCAACCCTCCTTCTGCTTCAATGCAGGAATAGCACCGTCAAAGTCTTCCCAACAGATGGCCACCCAGCCTCAACAACAATAGACCCCAAAGGCCATCTAGTCCGACCCCCTTCTGCTTCAATGCAGGAATAGCATCGTCAAAGCCTTCCCAACAGATGGCCATCCACCCTCAACAACAGTATAGTTGGGAGGGACCTCAAAGGCCATCTAGTCTGACCCCCTTCTGCTTCAATGCAGGAATAGCACCATCAAAGCCCACCCAACAGATAGCCACCTTCCCTCAACAACAATAGAGTTGGGAGAGACCCCAAAGGCCATCTAGTCTGACCCCCTTCTGCTTCAATGCAGGAATAGCACCATCAAAGCCCTCCCAACAGATGGCCATCCACCCTCAACAATAGAGTTGGGAGAGACCCCAAAGGCCATCTAGTCCAACCCCCCTTCTGCTTCAATGCAGGAATAGCACCATTAAAGCCCTCCCAACAGATGGCCGCCCACCCTCAACAACAATAGAGTTGGGAGAGACCCCAAAGGCCATCTAATCCAACCCCCCTTCTGCTTCAATGCAGGAATAGCACCATTAAAGCCCTCCCAACAGATGGCCGCCCACCCTCAACAACAATAGAGTTGGGAGAGACCCCAAAGGCCATCTAATCCAACCCCCCTTCTGCTTCAATGCAGGAATAGCACCATTAAAGCCCTCCCAACAGATGGCCGCCCACCCTCAACAACAATAGAGTTGGGAGAGACCCCAAAGGCCATCTAGTCCAACCCCCCTTCTGTTTCAATGTAGGAATAGCACCATCAAAGCACTCCCAACAGATGGCCATCCATCCTTCTCAACAACAACGATAGAGTTGGGAGAGATCCTAAAGGCCAGCTACTCCAACCCCAATCAGCCAGGCAGGAAAAGCACCACCAAAGCCCCCCCCCCCCCGACAGATGGCCACCCAAGCTCAATAGTAATGAGAATAGTCATAATAGTCATAGAGTTGGGAGAGACACAAAGACCATCTAGTCTGACCCCAATCTGCCAGGCAGGAATAACACCATCAAAGCCTTCCCAACAGATGGCTATCCAGCCTCAACAACAACAGCAATAGAGTTGGAAGAGATCCCAAAGGCCATCTACTCCAATCCCAATCAGCCAGGCAGGGAAAGCACAACCCAGACCCTTCCGACAGATGGCCATCCAGCCTTTGTTTAAAAGCCTCCAATGAAGGAGCCTCTGCCCGGCTCCGAGGAAGAGAGTTCCACTGCTGAACAATGATATATTAGTATGATGTTGCTATATTATTGTATGATGATGATGATATGATATATTATTATATTATGATTTATTATATATTATTATATTGTTCTATTAATATAAATTATTATGATATTGCTATATTGTTGTATGATGATGATATGATATATTATTATATTATGATTTATTATATATTATTGTTCTATTAATATAAATTATTATGATATTGCTATATTATTGTATGATGATGATATGATATATTATTATAATATTATGATTTATTATATATTATTTTTGTATTGTTCTATTAATACATACATACATATATATATATATATATATATATATATATATGTTATTTTATTGTCATATTATTATTGTTGTTGTTTATCCTACTTTCCTCCCTTAAAGGAGACTCAGAGAGGAAAGCAGGACACTATAATAACAATAATAATGTAACAATATAATAACAATAATGATAATAATAAGAAGAAGTGTGTATCAATGCTTAGGACAACTAGGTTCTTTTGATACCACTCAACGGGATCCTGGGATTTATAGTTCTGCAGCCCCTTCCCCCCCCCCCCCACACACACACACTCTCATAATGGCATTTGGTAAATATAGATGCATTATTATTATATTATTATTATTTGAAACACAACAAGGTGAGTCCACAGCAAACTAGGTTACTCTGCTGGCTGTTGTATTGGATCACATGTCAGACACTTCCCATGTATCTAGGATTATGCGATGTATCGGCGGATAATGTGTTCAGATCCCACTAAGGTGGCCTTCTGCAGCTGGCAGATGGTYATTTGGTCAGCACTGATTGTTTTTAAGTGCWGGCCAAGGTCTTGAGGCACTGCACCTAGTGTGCCAATCACCACTGGGACCACCTTGACTGGCTTGTGCCAGATTATTATTATTATTATTATTATTATTATTATTTGAAACGCAACAAGATCATACACAGCAAACAAGATCACTATGCTGGTTGTTGTACTGGATTATTATTATTATTATTATTATTATTATTATTATTATTGAGGTTGGATGGCCATCTGTCAGGGGTGTTTTGATTGTGCTTTTCCTGCAGAAGGGGGTTGGAGGGTATGGGCCCAGGAGTCTTTTCCAATGATATCATTATTATTATTATTATTATTATTATTATTATTATTATTGAGGTTGGATGGCCATCTATTGGGGGTATTTTGATTGTGCTTTCCTGCATGAAGGCAGAAGGGGGTTGGAGGGGATGAGCCCAGGAGTCTTTTCCAATGATATCACTATTATTATTATTATTATTATTATTATTATTATTATTATTATTATTGAGGTTGGATAGATATGTGTTGGGGGTTATTTGATTGTGCTTTTCCTTCCTGCATGAAGGCAGAAGGGGATTGGAGGGGATGGGCCCAGGAGCCTCTTCCAATGATATCACTATCATCATCATCATCATCATTGAGGTTGAATGGCCATCTGCTGGGATTGTTTTGATTGTACTTTTCCTGCATGAAGGCAGAAGGGGGTTGGAGGGGATGGTCCCAGGAATCTTTTCCAATGATATCATTATTATTATTATTATTATTATTATTATTGAAGGTTGGATGGCCATCTGTCAGGGGTGTTTTGATTGTACTTATGAAGGAAAAGTGTCTAGAACTGTGTGGTGTATCGGCGAATAATGTGTGCAGATCTGAGCAGGGTGGCCTTTTGCAGCTGACCGGTGGTCATTTTGTCAGTGCCAATTGTTTTTAAGTGCAGGCCAAGGTCTTGAGGCACTGCACCCAGTGTGCTGATTATTATTATTATTATTATTATTATTATTATTATTATTATTATTATTATTGAGGTTGGATGGCCATCTATTGGGGGTATTTTGAATGTGCTTTCCTGTATAAAGGCAGAAGGGGATGGGTTCAGGAGTATTTTCCAATGATATCACTTATTATTATTATTATTATTATTATTATTGAAGGTTGGATGGCCATCTGTGTCTAGAACTGTGTGATGTATTGGCGAATAATGTGTGCAGATCTGAGCAGGGTGGCCATTTGCAGCTGACCGCTGGTCATTTTGTCAGCGCCAATTGTTTTTAAGTGCAGGCCAAGGTCTTAAGGTACTGCACCCAGTGTGCCGATGATGATTATTATTTTTATTATTATTATAGTGTCCTGCTTTCCTCCCCGAACGGAGAGTCAGAGAGGAGAGTGGGACATCCTGCCTTAGAGAGGACATCTGTCGGGAGGGTTTGACTGGTGCCTTAACACCATTTGGCCGTAACGCGCTATCCTGTGGCTGTAAAGCGGCTTGGCCCCACTTGCAGGGCTCAGTGCTGTGGGACCTTTGTGTTTCAGCCAGAGAGAAAAGCAGGAAACAAAGGCTCATAATAGAAACCGCACTAATTGTGCCAGCTTTCCGACTGGTTGGAGGAGGAACAAATGAGCAGGAGGAGCGGTCATTTGCTTGGCCATTTGCTTATCGGGATGCAAAGAAGGCCCGGCCGGCCTCCTTGACCTCCCCTGAGTCAAGATTTGAATGCTCCCAAGGACCCTTTCGCCCGGGCAAGATTTGCATATGCAAAGTTTTGATAGAGAAATGGGGAGGATCTTTTTGGGTTGACTCCTTGAATAGGTTTGTGGTTTGGTTCCGCTTTGTGAAAGCTGGGTTGCACATTTCCAGCCATCACTGTTGCGTCTGCACTGTGCAGTTAATGCAGTTTGACACCACTTCAGCCCCCTCGTAGCTTGACGGATTAGGCTTAGCTTGTACTTTTGGGCAAAGAAAGCAGCAGGCCTTGCAAAACTCCAACTCCCGGGTTCCTAGAAAATAGTTTCTAAGCTGTGGATGCAGAATCATCCCTCCATCTATCCCTCCGTCCATTC